TTGTTCCAGTGAGAAAATATCTGTACCCCTCACACAAAGGGTGTTTTGATAAATACACACACCATCCTTACAGCAAATACTAATTACAATTTTCTTTTTTTATGTCCTTAGTTTCTTGGTCTTGATCATTTAGACCAAGGCTGCAGGGATCAAAATTTAAGGTCACCCATGTGTGCAATGGTGTTGTTGGCATATCACAGTGTCATCACTTATTACCTTGGTAAGAATGCAGATAACAGAAAATACAAATCTTATTGGCTAGCAGCAATCCAGGGCTGTAGTTCTTCGTATGCATTGCAGGCCTATGGTTTTAAGGAGTGAGATTGAAAAGCTGATGTACGTGTAGAGAGAAATTACCCAAGGCTTTAATTACTTGAAGTTGCTGTTAGGTGAGGCCAGTGAATTGGTGTTTTGGTATCTTGCTGAANAGGAGGCAGTCTTGGGTCTACCTCAGCAAGCCCCACCCATTTTTCAGTGGTAGAAGAAAAATACTCTATTTTACAAGGGTTAACATTGATTACTGGTGGCCCTGTAGTTTACATAATGGTCCTGCGTAACTGAACTACAAATTGACCCAAAAATTATCAAAAGAGAGCAAATACAATCAATGGTATTTCCATCCTGGCAAGGGCAAGTTACCATCGTGAAGTGAACTGTCTGAATGTCGCTTTCGTTGAGAACATATTTAGACTAATATTCTTACAGTATGTACTGAGTTGAATTATTGTCAACATTTACGTTACATTCATTGAATTTTCCCTTCTATTAGGAAATGGTGAAGGAGATGTTTTGTATGCCGAGGAAATTCTTCAACCACATTTAAAGGCGTTTCCTAAGGCAAGTTATTATATTTATATATATTTATTTACTACAACTGAATGGTTCAAAAGAACCAGAAAAATGTTCCAGTAACAGGTTAGCCTTAGTTTACATTGTACCCTTTTCGTATTCTTGGTACATGTAAGTCCAGTTACCCCTCTCCTAGTTAGTCAGCCTTAGTCAGTGTGTTTACATGTGCTGATCACATACACCCCTGTTGTGGTTACGATTGGTTTGTTCTCGCGCGTGAGAAATCATAAGATATNTTGTTCCAGTGAGAAAATATCTGTACCCCTCACACAAAGGGTGTTTTGATAAATACACACACCATCCTTACAGCAAATACTAATTACAATTTTCTTTTTTTATGTCCTTAGTTTCTTGGTCTTGATCATTTAGACCAAGGCTGCAGGGATCAAAATTTAAGGTCACCCATGTGTGCAATGGTGCTGTTGGCATACCACAGTGTCATCACTTATTACCTTGGTAAGAATGTAGATTAAAAAAAAATACAATTCTTATTGGCTAGCATCAATCTGGGGCTGTAGTTCTTTGTATGCATTGCAGGCCTATGGTTTCAATGAGTGAGATTGAAAAGCTGATATACGTGTAGAGAGAAATTAGCCAAGGCTTTAATCACTTGAATTTGCTGTTAGGTGAGGCCAGTGAATTGGTATTTTGGTATATTGCCTAACTGGGGGGAAAGGAGGGTGGGGGAGGGGCAGGCAGTCTTGGGTCTACCTCAGCAAGCCCCACCCATTTTTCAGTGATAGAAGAAAAATACTCTATTTTACAAGGGTTAACATTGATTACTGGTGGCCCTGTAGTTTACATAGTGGTCCTACTTAACTGAACTACGAATTGACCCAAAAATTATCAAAAGAGAGCAAATACAATCAATGGTATTTCCATCCCAGACCTGGCAAGGGTAAGTTACCATCGTAAAGTGAACTGTCTGAATGTCGCTTTTGCTGAGAACAGACTTGTACTAATATTCTTACTGTATGTACCGAATCGAATTATTGTCATCATTTACGTTACATTCATTGAATTTTCCGTTCTATTAGGAAATGGTGAAGGAGATGTTTTGTATGCCGAGGAAATTCTTCAACCACATTTAAAGGCGTTTCCTAAGGTAAGTTATTATATTTATATTTATTTATTTACTACAACTGAATGGTTAAAAAGAACCAGAAAAATGTTCCAATAACAGGTTGGCGTTAGTTTACATTGTATCCTTTTCGTATTCTTGGTACATGTAAGTCCAGTTACCCCTCTCCTAGTTAGTCAGCCTTAGTCAGTATGTTTACATGTGCTGATCACATACACCCCCGTTGTGGCTACGATTGGTTTGTTCTCGCGCGTGAAAAATCATAAGATAGAGACAACCAATCAGAGATGTTGCATCTACGTCACCAGAAAGGAATTTTTCGCGTCATATTTCAGACATGTTTTGAGCGAGGGATGACGAAGATCTCAGCCTAATAAAATACTCATCATAGTAATTATTTTTGTCAGGGAGCGATATTTTTGTACTACGCTGGCCGTATAAAACAAGTGCAAGGAAAATTAGATGAGGTAAGTATCTGTTCCAGGCATTCATGAAATTAAATTACTGTTCAATCTCTTCTCATCAGTATCTATGGATATTTTAAGTTGGGGT